CTGCCCCGGCCCCGGCCAGCCCCAAAGCTGCCCGGGGGCGCTGCCGTGCGCGGTGTGCGCCGCGGCCGTGCCCGCGACCCGCGGCCTCCGCGCCAGCTCCACGGCAGCAGGAAGAAATGTTGGCTTTTGGCGTCAAATGTATTTTCCAGCTTCTTTCTCACTGTCGCTTCCTTTTTATTTTGAGAAGTGGATGCCAAAGCTGGCTTAATTCAGAATCTTTAAACTTCAATCAAACTAGGTAAAGGACAAAGCATGCCTGCAACTGAACTTTGAAGAATAACATTTTAAAATGCCAAGCGCTTTTCTCCTAAATGAGGAAAGCATTGAATTTTAATTTCTAGAACTGTACAGCAGACAGCTGCAGCGAGCGAACGGCGGCGAGAGAGCATAGCCGGAAAATGCGTTTCGGCTCGGAAGCCTGCCCTCAATTGAGTTTCGTGGAGCTCCTTGCAACTTACGGAGTTCGTGGCTTGGAGATCCTCCTGCAGGCAGTGCCCAGAGGTCAGCGTAAATGCCTGGGCGGGCAGATAAATGGGAAGATAGAGGGAAGGAGCCGCTGCCGCAGCGGCTCTGCATCTGCAGAAGCAGCGGGGATTGCCGGGGGGGAAACTGAATACCGGCTACCCCAGCACCCGCAGCAGACTGCCCACCCAGGGATGCACTGCAGGAACGCACCCCAGCACCCACAGCAAACTGCCCACCCAGGGATGCACCCCAGCACCCGCAGCAGACTGCCCACCCAGGGATGCACTGCAGGAACGCACCCCAGCACCCACAGCAAACTGCCCACCCAGGGATGCACCCCAGCACCCGCAGCAGACTGCCCACCCAGGGATGCACTGCAGGAACGCACCCCAGCACCCACAGCAAACTGCCCACCCAGGGACGCACCCCAGCACCCGCAGCAGACTGCCCACCCAGGGATGCACTGCAGGAACGCACCCCAGCACCCACAGCAAACTGCCCACCCAGGGATGCACCCCAGCACCCGCAGCAGACTGCCCACCCAGGGATGCACTGCAGGAACGCACCCCAGCACCCACAGCAAACTGCCCCTGCAGGAACGCACCCCAGCACCCACAGCAAACTGCCCACCCAGGGACGCACCCCAGCACCCGCAGCAGACTGCCCACCCAGGGACTCAGCCCGGCCCCAGCGAGCTCGTGTCTGCCCCGGCGGGGAAGAAGAAGAGGTGATTTCCGAGCGCACGGCATCGCTTCGGCGCGCACCGGCACTGGCGTTGGTCCAGTGGGGCCTGAAAACCCCTTCTGCTGCTGCTGGGGGTGCAGCGATCCTCATCGAGGGCTCCCAGCACCCAGCGTGGGTCTGTCTTTCCCCCTGCGTGTCGGGATCCTGCCCAGAGTGCCTCGGATGCGAGGGATTGCCCCGTGAGCGTCCCCGCGTTAAACAGCACGTGGAGTTAAACGCGTGGAGATGGAGGAGGAAGCGAGGCGGTAAAGACAAAGAGAACAGCGAATTTGGGCGGCAGACGGGTACACCCTGCATTTCAGCTGCCCGTGGTGCTTGGGAGCTGGGATTCGGGAGCCAGCCAGACCCTGGCTCCATCTGCAGTCGGCGGAGGGAAGTAGACCCCGGCCGGAGCTGGGCCAACAGCCCGAACATGGGGTTTGCCCTTTGCTGAAGGGCCTGAGGACCCTTCCTGCGCCCGGCAGAGCCGTGGTGGCCTACACGGAGTGGCCCTGGTGACGGCGTGCTCTGTGCCTCACACAAGCGGCACCGGCTGCGGGAGGGGCCCCAGCCGCCGGCCGGGGTCCGTGGGAGCCAAGCGAGGACTCCTGCTATCCCGAATCTCCGGGCGGCCGCTCCTGGGGCGCAGGGCAGAGAGCGGAGGCAGAGCCGGAGCTCTTTTGCCGTGCCAAGTGAGACGGGTCCACGTTGGGTGCTCTCCTCGGCAGCCGTGGGAGACCCGGAGCCCGTGTCCGGCGTGCCGAGGGCAGGGACACCCCGCTGCCCAGCCGAGCGTGGTTGGTGGCACGTGTGGAGGTTCCGGTGATCATCTCGGCCCAGCCCCCCGGGCCCCCCAGCCTCCGGCTCCTCGTCACGCTGCTCTGCCCGGCCGTCCTCCGGGAGCAGCCCGCGTCCCGCCTTGCCCGCCAACACCCCCTCCCCTCCTGTCTTCCAGAGGATGTCCAGGTGACCGACAAGATAACCATCTCCAAGCAGTTCAAGGAAAAGGTTATTCGCCCCATCTTGAAGGTACGGATGACTGGGTTTTTCATGGCTTATGTTTCAGGTGTCCTGCGCTTTGGTCGTTGAGTCATTCGATGCACTATCCGTGTTCCCCCGCCAGCTGTCTCCCAGCTGTGAGATAAGTGACGTGACGTCATTTTTTTCATTTTCAGAGCTAAGAAATAAGGTCAGAACGCAGCAGAAATAAATAACAGCATCTTATTCACTCCCTGTGCTCTTATACCAGAGCAACGACGCGAGACGAGAGGGGGGACATGGGGTGGGAGGTGCCGCAGTGGGGTTTGGGGGTTCTCCGCTCTCCCGGGGCCCCCGTCTGCTGCACAGGGGCCAGGAAAACCCGACCGCAGCGACACGTCCCAGTGACATCCAGTTTTCGCTCAGACGTTTCCGAAGCTCTTCAAGGCGCTGCTCACCCGGCAGCTCCTACAGAGACCAAGAATCTGAGCTCCAGGCGGGAGGCTCGGATCGGAGCCTCGGAGCCGGGGAGCAGCGAGGGGCGTTGCTGCAAGTGGCTGGGGCAGGAGCAAACAGCGGAAAAGGCCGGAGCTGGGCTTACACCGCAGGAGAAATCTGTTTCTCGTTCCTCTTGCCACCTCCAGAAGAATTCATTCCTCCCCTCGGCCTTGCTGAGGGGTGCTCCTGCTGACCCGAGGGATTTCCAGCGCCAGGGCAGGGGGTGGGCTGGCTGCGGGGCCTCCCCGGGCGGGCGCGTGAGCGGTGGGGGGGGGGGGGATCCCCGGGGACCCCATCCCGCAGCCCCGCCGTCACCGCTGTCCCTGTCAGGGTCACCAGCCCCATCCCCGCTGACCCTCGCCCCTTGTCCCTGCAGGCTCACTTCAGACGAGACGAGTTCCTGGGGCGGATCAACGAGATCGTCTATTTTCTCCCTTTTTGCCACTCGGAGCTCATCCAGCTTGTCAACAAGGAGCTGAACTTCTGGGCCAAGAAGGTAAAAACCACCCCGTGCTTTAGAGGGAACTTCTCAAGAGATGCGCGAGCCGGAGGAAATCCCTGCCTGAGCCTTCATCCTCCCGATGGGGAGGCAGAGCGAACGGGCGTCCTCGCCATGGTCTTGCCCGCTGCTCAACGCAAGGGGACCCTGCTCGGGAGGGGGGGGACCTCTTGGGACACGGGGGGACGGTTGTGGTGGGGCAGGGCCGCCTTCAGAGGCCTGATTTGTCTAATTGGTCTCTGCACATCTGAGCTCTCCGCGGGGGCTAAATAGGAATTAGGGGCCCACCTGCTTTGGGCCTGGCCTGCTGGAGCTCAGTGCCCTTTTTCCTGGGCCCAGGGACGCGCTCACCCCTCCGTGGTGTCCCCACTGCCCGAGGAGGGGGTGCCAGGGTTGCTCGAAGGCATCGGTAACTCTTCCTCCTCTTCCTCACCCCGCAGGCCAAGGCGAGGCACAACATCACCCTGCTCTGGGACAGGGAGGTCATGGACGTGCTGGCTGACGGCTACAACTTGCACTACGGTGCCCGCTCTATCAAACACGAGGTAAAGGCAAGGACAGAGCAGGGGCGACGGCCACGGCGTCGCCTCCAGCCCCGCTCTGGACGGGGAGAGCCAGGAGCCGGGTATTTGGGGTCTGTCCCGCGGAAGAGGGTCCCCGTAGCTCCCGAGGGGAGACGCTCGCGGGCTGCGGGAGGACCCGTCACAGCCAGTACGCTCCCAAAAGAGACGGGGAATAAACAGGACGAGCAGGAGATTCTGGGATCCCGCGGTGGCCGGGGGTGGGACGGAGACCCCCCGCGGCCCCGGGGGGCTGCTCGCGGCGGGCTTCTGACGGGAGCCCGTGTTTCTTCTTCAGGTGGAGCGGCGCGTTGTGAACCAGCTGGCCGCTGCCTACGAGCAGGACCTGCTGCCCAGGGGCTGCACCCTGAGGATCACGGTGGAGGACTCGGACAAGCAGCTGCTGAAGAGCAAGGACAGCTCTTCCCCTGGAGCCCAGAAAACAAAGATGCCGACCCTGCGGTTGGAGATAGTGGAGAAAGACAGCAAATCCCGAAAACTGGACATCCAAGCGCCTCTGAACCCAGAAAACATTGCTTACTTCTTGTAGGCAGCCACGAGCGCTCCCGGAGCGCGCTCTGCCCCAGCAGCTGCCGGCACGCCGCTGCCGGCGGTGCGGGTTGCAATAAAACACCGTCAGACTCGGAGCGTGCGGTGTGAGGGCAGGCAGCAGGGCAGGCAGCAGGGCAGGCAGCAGGGCAGGCAGGGGCAGAGCCGTGCTCCTGCCACCTCCGCTGCCCCGTCAGCCCGCGCCCGCTCGCCCTGGGGTGGGCGCAGGGGGCTCTGGAGCTGGGGGCGGCCAGGGGCGCGCTGCCCTTCGGGGAGGTGGAGGTGGAGGGGCCTGGGGTTTCGCTTGGCACGAGAAAAGGTGTCGGAGCTTTTTAAGAAAGGGGAGAGCAGATTTCAGGCCGTACGGGAGCCGGGGTGTCCGGCTCAGGGGGGATTTGGCATCCCCTGCTGCGGAGGGTGGGTTGGGAAGGGGCAGGGCAGGGACCGAGTGTGTCACAGCTTGGTTTTTAAAAGCCACCGGCCTCTTGACTCTGTATTTTGCCCGCTTCTCTTTATTTATTGCAATAAACACGGCGTGCACATGCAACCTTCTGCCTGCGGCGCGGGGGCTGCCCGTGGGCAGGACGCGTCCCGGGGGGCTCCTGCACCTCCCGCTCATCACCGGGCCCCGCTCCCCGTCCGGCCAGCGACAGCCCCTGCAAACCCCCGCCGCGTGCCCCCGCTGCTCACCTTCTGGCCTGCTTCGGGGAACGTCCCATCTTCTGGGCTTCACCTTCACCCAGCTGGTCCCCGGTGTCGGAGCTGGAGCGGAGGTCCCCGGCCCGGACAGATGACGGCAGCTCTCGCTGGGCAGAACTGGATTTTTCCGATGCAGGCGGGAGGTTTCGCTCTCCCAGCCGCGGTTTGCAGACCGGCACCGTCCCCGAGAGCCCTGCGGGGCCTGATCCTGCCGCCAGCTTTGCTGGGGCTCAGGGGAAAGCGGGGCCCAGCGGCGCGAGCGATTCGGGGCTCTGCTTTCCTCAGCGAGGCACCCGGCGCGGCGTCGGATGGTGGGATGAGGTGTCCCGCGGTGGGAACCCCCCGGGTTCGGGGGGCACGGTCACCACCGTCACCCTGCCGAGACAGCACCAGTTCCTCTGGCCGCCGACGTGTCACAGGGGCGGATCGTGAAGAGTAGGAAATTAAATATAAAAGGAAATCAAACCAAATAGCCCTCCCGAATTAATAAGTCACAGTGGGAGGGGGCAGCGAGCAAAGCCGCCATGCCAAGTCCCCCGGCCCGAGTGTCCCCGCCGGCGCTGCCGGGCCGTGCTGTGGTTTGGTTTTGGCGCTGGTGCTCATTTTCCAGGGGATACGTGACGGTTTAGGGGGGCTGCCCCCGCCGGCCTTTCCGCCCCTGTCGCCTTCTCCTCCCGCGGGGCTTCGTTCAGGGACGCCGCCGGGGACGCGAGGCTGCAAACGGGGCGGGGGGGAAAAGCTGGAAAAGGGGGAAAGCTCTGCCGACAGGGAGCTGCTGAGATGGCGAATGGAGCTGCCCCGTCGCGGGCATCGCCCGCGCTGGTGGTCCGTGGGCGCCCTGCTCCTCTTGACCCCAGGCTGGCGGCGGGGCGGCGATGGGGCAGGAGGGGATGAGCCCGTCCCCACCCGGCACGGGGCCGCGGGGGCTGGCGATGGCCCCGGGGGGGAAGGGGGTCTCTGGCAGCGGGATTTGGCCTTCAGGAGCCCCTCGGGGCGAGCGGCAGGCCGGCCAGAGCGGGTTTCGCTTCCCCTGAAAGGGTTTGGGAGCTTCACTGGGCTTTTCTGGCCCCTTCACATGGAGATGGGCTCCCGGCGGGGGACCGGGGGGAGATTCCGCCGCTTCGGTGGGGACGGCGGGCTCCAAGGGGGCTTTGCTCCTCGGTCCCCCGTGCCGCTGCCGGGGAAGGACCCACACCTGGCAGGGGTGCAGGGGGGCCCTGGCTCGGGGAAGGGGTCCCCGAAAACACGGCGGGGCCTCGCGGGACAGCGAGCGCCATCCCCAAACCTGCCGTCACCTCCTGCAGCGACCAGAGGCTGGGGGGGGCGCCCCCCCCCCCCCCCCCGGCGCG